CATTTACTCTACCCAGGGTGTAACAGTTATGTTTCTAACATGAAATAGTTTTTTTAAAGATCTCATAATTCTAACTTCACATCTCCTGAACTAATCCCATGTCACCACTTCAGTCCAAGATGAAGACACAGCAGACATGAATGATATAAAGATGCAAGGTATGTGGAAAGAACACTGAAGACACTGTAGTCAATCCTCAACAAAAAAGATCAGATTAATCTGCAGTTGATAAGGAAAAAGGGCTCCAAACCTCCAGAGCCTATATATATTTGGTGTTACTGTTTTAAACAAATATACCTAATACAACTGTGTTCAAAACATCACTTCCAACAAGTGCCTGAGATGTTGCCAGAATGCAGAGTGTTCTCGAAAACCACTCACTAAGCAGCTCCCTTAGCTGGACTGGCAATCTGGAGTCACTGCGGCTGACCAGCAGTGCCAACTGCACCCAAGCAAGCTTGCCTTCCTCCTAGTGTTTAACCCAAGACTAAGACCGGGGAGAAATAGTGTTAAGGATCTCTCACCCGGGAAGGTGAGCAAGGGAGAGGAAATCAGGCGTGCACAATCCAAGTCCCCCATCGCTCTTCTCTCTTTCACTTAGCGATATTATGGGACAAGAACGAGGTTCATAATCATAATCATCTCAGGCACAAGACTGTGGATCGAGGAAAAGGGGAGAAGGGGGGGGGGGTTGCGAAAGAGAAGGCCCTGGAGACGCACAGCGCTGACAAGACAACAAAGCACAGAAGTGAAGAGGAGGCGGGGGTCGGGGCGAGACGAGGAAGTCGTCATCGACGCCGCGCCGCCCCCCTCCCGCCATCAGACCTGAGACACCCCCCTCACGGACTCGGCCTCCACCCGAAGGACGACCTTTCCCTTCGCCGAGGTAGACCGTGCCTCAGCTCCCCCGCCCGGCGGAAGCCGGCGGGGAAGGCCGCCCCCCGGGAGCGCGCCCCGGGCGGGGGGCGCCGGCCCCACTCGCTCCCGGGGAAGGAGGAGGGGGCTGCGGAGGGCGGGGCGGCGCTCCCACAGCCTGCGGGGGCTGCCACACGGCCGCGACGCGTCTCCCAGCGCCGCGAGGCTGCAGCTCGCCGCCTCTTTTCACCCTGACACCCGGTTACCTCTTCACGTCTTCGTCCTCAAGCAGCTCTGGCTCGGCCGCCGCCATTACCACATCGCACTCCGCGGCAGCCGCCATCTTACCGCCCGGACCAAAGAGCCGAGTGGGAGGCAGGCGGTGAAGAGCACTTCCGGTCGGAGCATCGAGCTGCTCCGCGGCGCAGCGCCCAGAGGGGCTCCCTCGAGCCCGTCTACCAACGAGAGGCTCCGCTGGAGGCCAGAGCGGCCTCCCATCCCTGGAGGTCCACGGTGGTCTCCGCGCAGGGGCGGAGCCCCAGGGCCGGCTCCTGTGCGTAGGGGGCGCCACTGTACCGGAGGGTAGGAGGGGGCGCCTGAGGATGTGGCCTTAGTTAAATCTTGGGCTTTCCTCAGTATGCTGAGAACCTAGTTGCCATAACAATTTGCAATTCTAGAGACTAAGGACCGGGGTGGAGGGGAGGGGGGGGAGGCGTGGCGGGATGGGGGGCGGGGGGATCTGGGGGTGGGGTGGGGATCGGGTTGCCCAAAACTCCGGAGCCCCTACGACTGACTACCTTCCCGACCTCGGAGTGCGTCCACAGCTGCTTCTCAGGCAAAACAAGAGACACTTTGAGCCCAGTTCCCCAGCTTTCATCGCTCTCTGGAAGCCCTGCCCAGCCAAGCCAGGGGAACGCAGGGCGTCTTCACCCCGGCACCTTTCATCCTTCCCGGATCTCCAACCACCAACTGGTTCATCACCCTAATGACGCGGACCCTTTTATGAGGCTGCTTTCATGTCAGCCTCCTGGGAGTGCCGTCTCAGCATTAAGACCAGCTCCCCAGCCCCTTACCCCCGAGTTTATAAGGCAGGCAGCTCATCGGGTGAGGTCCCTGCTCCTCAGTATCCTCAAACCTTCCACCTCTCATAAACTCTCTTCAGTACGCTTGTCTGGCCCAGTGCAAGGACACAATCATCTATGTAATATTTCCCCCACCCAAACCTATATTTGTGGGGATGAACTGAACTGAGACTTTCTGAGGTTAAATCAGGGGAGTTCGGGCTGTACTTTTTAAAGCTACTGGGAACCTTAATTAAAAGGACAAAAGAATGCTTAAGGGTTCTACCCCCATTTTCCCCAGGAAAAATGTAAGCCAGAGAGTCATGAGTGGTGAAGGAGAGGTGAGAGCTCCGTGGTTTGGAAGGGAGAGGTCATTCATCTAAGCCTATGATTCCAGACCCCTTTCCAAAATATCTACACTACTAGTTGGAAGAGACACACAGACTTTCAAACAATCTACCCTGTCTGCTGGTGGCACATGGTCTGCTGCAAGTCTAATCCAGAAACCAACCTGTCTTTGAGTAGCCTCCGACTTTGTTCTATTTCAGTGTGTTTGTGGGTGAACACAGGGCTTCACTGTCTCTTGCACACTCTTGGCTTTTCCACTCAAGGCTAGCATTCCTACCACTTGAGCCACACTTCCAGGTTTTTGCTGGTTAATTGAAGGGAAGAGTCTTACAGACTTTCCTGCCTCAGCTGGCTTCAAGCCTCTATCGTTGGATCTCAGTCTCCTGATAGGATTACACGTGAATGCTGCCAGCACCCAGCTATACTTTGTGTTCTCTTATCTGGAGCAACTTATTTACATCCAGCTTTAATTTCATCTGTTGAAGCTGTGATGACCTTCTACTCAAGATGTCTCTAACCTAGACCTTCAGAATCCCAGATCTGTTGTATCTACATCTAGCTACTGACTATCCCTAAGGCTTAACGTGTGTGTGTGTGTGTGTGTGTGTGTTCTTGAGCTGTGTGTGCTGTTCCTGGGGGTTGAACTCTGGATCTAAGTGCTTTTTGCTCAAGGCTAGTGCTCTATCACTTGAGCCACACCTCCACTTCTGGCTTTTTGGTAGTTAACTGGAGGTATGAGACATAGACTTTCCTGCCTGAGCTGGCTTCCAACCATGATCCTCAGATCTCAGCCTTTGGGAGTAGCTAGGATTACAGGGGTGAGCCACCAACACTCTGCTTAAGATTCTTATTGAGGGGCTTAGTGGTAGAGTGCCTGCCTAACATGCATAAAGCCCTGCGTTCGATTCCTCAGTACCACATAAACAGAAAAAGCCAGAAGTGGTGCTGTGGCTCAAGTGGTAGAGTGCTAGCCTTGAGTAAAAGAAGCTCAGGGACAATGCCCAGGCCCTGACTGGACCAAAAAAAAAAATAGGTTCTTATTGAATTTATTTTCTCTCCACCTCTAAACAATGGAAAATTATGTTGTAACTGATTGTCCAGAAGCGCATATTTTATTGAATGAGTTCAACTATTTACCTGACCATCAAGGGAAATCCTGAGGAATATCATGAGCCCTGAATTCTTTTTCTTGACTTCCAATTTATGACCAAATCTGGTTAAATCTCTTATTTCCTAAATATGTCTCTTCCTTTCTATCCCAATTCAGACTTTTATCATTTTTTAAACTCTGAAGAATAAGCCAGGTGCTGGGGCTCATGCCTGTAATCCTAGCTACTCAGGAGACTGAGATCTGAGGATCATGGTTTGAAGCCAGCCTGGGCAAGAAAGTCCACGAGACTCTTGTCTCCAATTAATCACCAGAAAACCAAAGTGAAGCTGTGCTTCAAAACGGTAGAGCAGAGCCGGGCGCTGGTGGCTCACACCTGTAATCCTAGCTACTCAGGAGGCTGAGATCTGAGGATCACGGTTCAAAGCCAGCACGGGCAGGAGAGACCGTGAGACTCCTATCTCCAATAAACCACCAGAAAACCGGAAGTGGCGCTGTAGCTCAAGTGGTAGAGTGCTCGCCTTGAGCTGAAGAGCTGAGGGACAGTGCCCAGGCCCAGAGTTCAAGCCCCACGACCTACAAAAAGAAAAAAAAAGGTAGAGCACTAGCCTTGAGCGAAAAGAGCTCAGAGATAGCACCTAGGCCCTGAGTTCAACCCCACAACTGTCAAAACAAAACAAAAATAAATAAAAAATAAACTTTGAAGACCATGGTAGTCTCCTACTGAGCTTCTAGTCTCATCTCTCCATTCTTGTCTCTTCTACCAGATCATGTCATTTCACTGGCACAGAACCTATCAATAGCTTTTTATCGATAGCTTTTTATTGCATTACGTTGAATCTCTATAGCCTACCACACCACACTTGATTATTTGGCTCCTTTCCACCACCAATATCCAATTACTTATAGTTCCAGGAAATGCCATGACTCTTGCTATGTTTTTTTCTACCATAGAACACTTTCTTCCTAAGCCTTTCAGTTGTCAATGCAGGTAAGACGCCTTAGGAAGTTCTCCTCGATGCCCACTACCCCCAAGTTAAATGTTCCTTTACTGTACCCCCAATGCACTTTTGTAATAGTACTCACCATGATGTTCTACAATTGTTGGTTTAGATGTATTGCTCTTCTAGATGGTGAAGTTCTCCTGGGAGGCTATCTTCAACAAATGACCCTACACAGACAAGGGGGGGGGGTGTGCTCAGAAAGCTAACTTTCCTTCCTTCCTTTCTCCCTCCCTCCCTTTCTCTCTCTCCTCCCTTCTTTCTTCTTTCTTCCTGTCTTTCCTCTCATAATGTAGCTCAGAATGGCCTCAGCTTCGCAATCCCCCCCTCAGTCTGAGTGCAAGGCTCAGAACACATTTGAGGGCTGGGGCTGTATCTTAGTGCAAGTTCCAGCAACGAAAAAAAAGTAAAACATGTGACGAATAAAAATGACTGAGTAAAGAAAGGCAGCATGACTAGAGAGAGAACATTTTAGCATCAGAGAGTCTAGAACGTTGAGCAGCCAAAGTACAACTAGGTCAAATCCTAGCTAACATTCCCCCGCCCGCCTCGGGGGGGCGCTGGGCAGTCAGCACCACCTTTCCATCGCCGGAAGTCGTCTTGCTGGCCGGAAGCTACAGAGCGGCGCGCAAAGGGGGCGGGCCCACGGAGCCTGCTTCCAGCCGGAGGAAGAGGGAACCCCTTAAGGTCGGGGTTACACCTCCTCAGGTGCCTGCGTGACCCGAGGGACCCACCCGGGGTGCAGAGGGGGACCCTTGGAGGCACAGAGCTGGAAGGCGGTGCCAGTCCATCGCCAGGACCGGCCTCTGCCCCTGGGTCTCTCTAGGTGACAGGCCTCCAGCTCTGATTCCCCGTGGGGGTCCTTGCTCTGACCTCTCCGGCGATCTCTCTTGGGTGTCCCTTAATTGCAAGGGGGGATCAGTGTCAGGAGTTTCTTTCTGGACAGAGATCTTTTGGGGACTCCTCTGGGGAGCAGCCTTTGGATCTCTGCTCTCCGGATGGGTTTTTGTGCGCAGCTCCTAGGAGAGAAGTTTGCCTTCTGGGAGATCGGTGTGTGGGGTCTCGTCAGAACGGTCTGGGTCTGAGCCTTTCCTTTGGGTCTGTCCATCCAAGGGCAGCAAAATGTTATCTCCTTTCCAAGTCTTTTCCCCCTTGGTTTCCTTTTATGTCTGTTGTTCTTCATTTTAGCCACGGATTTAACTAATTTGTCATCTGAGAAGGACATACAGAAAAGCAAATTCTCTTTGATTTGCTCAGTCTCAATACTGCTCAATTTGCTCAGTACTTTTTGGCCTCAAAAAGTACTCTTCCTAGTTACTTCTCCTTAAGGTCGTTATAGAAAGGTGTGCACAGAAAGGAACTTGAACCAGGGGCTCAGGCCTGTCATCCTAGCTACTCAGGAGGTTGAGATCTGAGGATCTGAGTTCTGCCAATCCAGGCACAACTGTGAGACTCTTACCTCCAATTAACCACCAAAAAGCTAGAAGTAGAGCTGTGGCTCAAGTGGTAAGAGTGCCAGCCTTGAGTGAAAAGGCTAAGGGACAGCTCCCAGACACTGAGGTCAAGCCCTAGTACTGGCACAAGAAAGGAAGGAAGGAACTTGGCCGAAACTTCTTGAAACCATTGGGGCCACGTGTAGTGAGCATCTAGTCTGTGCCAGCTACAGGCCACATACTGGGAATAATAAGAGAATGCAGTCTAGCTCACTGTTCTATAGCAGACTTAGACTTCAGTTCAGTGCACCCCAGCTAGAATCAGTGCACAATCCCTGGAGCTTTACATTCAGGTCCAATTTTGGGCTCTTAGTTATGAGAGGTCTACCCTCTGTTTTGTGCCTCTCTTCCCTCACTTTACCCAGAATGCTTTTATTCCTCAAGGTTGGAGGTTAAGCATGGGGAAGAGCTGCAAGGTGGTTGTGTGTGGCCAAGCATCTGTGGGCAAAACTTCAATCCTGGAGCAGCTTCTGTATGGGAACCATGTAGTAGGTGAGTGTGGTTGCAACTGGGGTAATAGTGGAAGACAAAGAATTAAGGAATAGAATCGGGCATGGTTGCACATACTTGTAATCCCACCTCTATTCAACCTTTTGCTGTGGCTTTCTGGGTGTCCTCTTGTAACTGCTTCTAAAGTTACAACATACACAGGAGGGAAGCTGAGGCAGGAAGATCTTGAGTTTAAAGCCAGCCTGGGCTATGTAGTCTTCGCAATTGTTTAGACAATTCCAAGCAACAACAACAAAGAGCTTGATCACACCAAACACGCCATACTTGCCGGTGGTTTTTGTACTTTCAAGAGTATACTAAGCTATGGTGTAACCCATGGTTCAACCCTTGCCTGATGTGTGTGAAGCCCTAGGTTTGAATTCCAGCATCACAAATACAAAAATACAAAATTAAAATAACTCCCACCACCACAATAAACCTGAAGGAAGGACATACGTGACTCAAGATAGAAAAAAATTCCCATGTTTTACTTTTGCTTAGTATGATTTCTACATCTGTTTCCCTAACCATCCCAGTCCTGTCACACTCCCAAGTCTGACCTCTCTTCAGCCCCCACATTCCTTTCTCCCACTGTCTGGCTAGCCTGTTAGCATGTTCTCATCATTCACATTTCCCATCTCCCTACTTCAAAGGAGTTTCTTGACTTTGTCCCAGGTTCTGAGATGATTGAAACCCAGGAGGACATATACGTGGGTTCAATTGAGACAGACCGGGGAGTACGGGAGCAGGTGCGTTTCTATGACACCCGGGGACTTCGAGACGGGGCTGAGTTGCCCCGGCACTGCTTCTCCTGCACCGATGGCTATGTCCTGGTCTACAGCACGGACAGCCGAGAGTCCTTCCAGCGTGTGGAGCTGCTCAAGAAGGAGATTGACAAGTCCAAGGACAAGAAGGAGGTGTGTGCTCTAGATTCCTGCAGGGAACCTCTGGTGGGAGAGTGTCCAACATGGCTCTATTCTTTCACTCTTTGCTAAGAGGTAAGTTAGGACTGAGAAGAGGGTGGAAATCATTGAGTGTATGTTCACCCTCAGTGGTAGCTCCATGTAAGGCAGCTCAACCAGAGAAGGGTCTCTTTGGGTTAAGGGGGTCCCCAATCTAACACATGCAGCTCCCCCAATCTTTCTTCCTGTTGGTCCCTAAAACCCCAATTGTCTAAACAGTTGAGAGAACTATGTCGCCCAGGCTGGCTTCAAATTCAAGATCTTCCTGCCTCAGCCTCCCTTCTGAGTATGCTGTAACTTGAGAAGTGTATGTTACAAGAGGACACCCAGAAACCCACCATGTAAAAGAGAGGTCTGAGCAAAGGGTTGAATAGAGATGGGATTACAAGTGTGTGCAGGACTTTGAAATCACTTCCCAGTTGTTTCGCCAAAACCTGTCACTAGATCTTCAGGCCCATGGTATATGGTATATGCACAGGGTTTTTTTGTTTTGTTTTGTTTTGTTTTTAATTATTGGTGGTGGTTGTGGGCTTGAACTCAGGGCCTGGACTCAGGGCCTGGGTACTGTCCCTCAACTTTTTCCACTCAAGGCTAGCACTCTACCATTTTGAGCCACAGTGCCACTTCTGGTATTCTGGTAGTCGATTGAAGATAAGCATCTCATAAACTTTGCTGCCCCAGATGGCTTTGAGCCTTGATCTTCAGATCTCAGCCTCCTGAACAACTAGGATTATAGACATGAACCACTGGCATCCATTAATTCACAGACTTTTACTGTCTCTCTTCCCCAGGTTACCATCGTGGTCCTTGGCAATAAGTGTGACCTGCAGGAGCAGCGACGTGTAGACCCAGATATGGCTCAGCATTGGGCCAAGTCAGAGAAGGTGAAGCTATGGGAGGTATCGGTGGCTGACCGCCGCTCCCTCCTAGAGCCCTTCGTCTACCTGGCCAGCAAGATGACCCAACCCCAGAGCAAGTCTGCCTTTCCCCTCAGCCGCAAGAACAAGGGCAGCGGCTCCTTGGATGGCTGAAAACCTGCTGTTCTTTCTTCACTTTCCTAACCCCATTCTAGCTTCTGGGGCTCTAAAGGATGGATTGACAGCAAGGGGTACATAGGCAAGCTTTAGGGGAGACACTCTAGGCGGCCAGCTGGGCTGGCCTAGGCCAAAGCCACTTCTGTTCCCTCTCTAGGAGGTGGGTGGGGCTACTTGTAGGTCATCTTCCCTTCCATCTGCCCTGGGAAGGCTGAAGAGCTCCCATACTGAAGTGCCCAATTACAGGTCTGCTCCTATTACAGGGTCTTAACCCTCTGCATTTCCTGCCAGTAATATGCATATATCTAAAGCATCCAGCCTGGACTTGAGAAAGACATGCTGGTGATAGGGATGGCTCCTCATCCCTCACCTTGATCTTTCCATAGCCAGTTCTTGGCTGGAAGAAGACAGCCTCCTGGGAGTGTCAATTTGTGTTTGAAGTCTTAACTCCCTTCCCCCAACTGTTTCACTTCCTCTTCCTGCTTTGGGAGGAGATGGGCCTCATTGGTTGAGGCTGAACTGAGTGATGACTAAGCTGTGAGTCACCAGCTGACTGTGTGGCCCAGTAAGGCAATTCTCCTCTGGCTGTGGGTTTGTTTTTCTCATCTGTAATTTGACAGGAGTTGCTTAATCCATCTCCTGGATCCTTTTCAGCTCTATGATTTTCTAAAGGCTGTGGCTTTGCCCCCTTGCTTTTCTCTCTTTAAGGTGCTATACCTACCAGCCCTGGAGGCTGGGCTTCTCTCCCTCCAACCACTAGGGGGCAAGAGTGCACTCTCAGTTGCCAGTGGCAATCTAGTACCCAGTCTGCAGACCACCCCATGGGAACTGGTCTTCATTCCTCTCTCTCTGGTTGTTTTCAGTGAGTAGCTGGATTTATATTTATATTCCCTGTATTTATATGCCTGATGCCATGGTGAAGGCTGGACAAGGTGCTCCTCTAGCCCTTCATCCTTACCTCAGATGCCTGAATAAAACCAGGCAAACCAGTAGCAGCCTCCTGAGCTAATAAGCCTTGTGTTTTGAGGTTCAGAAGGGAGGCTGTACACAGGCATGCTATCAAGTGAGCTTACAACCCCGATTTCCAGTGCCCACTTTTTGTTTCTAGTATGTATAGCTGGCGTGGGTGAGACACTACAACCAGGCAACCTCCAATTCATACTTCTCTACTGAACAGAAGTATAGGGGCTGGTACCCAGGGCTGGGAAAGGAGAGTTCAGGGCATCTTCAGGCTCAAAGTTCATTTATTGTTGTGTTGGACACAATAAAACCACAACTGCTGTTATCAAAAAGTTCCCCCCACCCTTCTTATCTTCCCACTGGAAATACCTTGGAGGGGGAAAAAAAAAAGATGCAGGTGGATACTGGCGAAGTCCCATATTGGCAGTTGAGGGGGCAGGCATGGTTTTGTGACACGGACTTTGGCAGTATGAGAGTAGACTTGAAGTAGACTTGAAGATATATCTGATCAGCACTCAGCTTTAGCGTGAGGCTGGCTAGAGGAGAGAGAGCTGTACTTGGCTGGGGCCCTGTCTGGAGTAGAGAACAATGGAAGAATGCTCTTCATTTTGGAGCTGGGAGGGGCAGGGGGTGAGGAGGGACTTGGAGTTAACTGGGAAACACTGTACTCCCACCCCAAGAGCTGGGCTCAGGTGGAATCTGAAAGCCTAAGAAATGAGTGCTTTGGTGGGACAGGTCACTATCTTTATTTTTTGTGCTATTGGAGTTTGATCTCTGGGCCGCATTCTTGCTAGGCAAGTGCTCTGCCACTTGGGCCATACCCCTCAGCCCTTTTTTGCTTCAATTTTTCTCAGATAGGATTTTGCAGGGCTAGGCACCATAGGTGTCTGCTACCACACCTAACACTTGATTGAAATGGGAATTTTACTTTTTGCCCAGATGAGGCTCAAATCATATTGCTCCCAATCGCTGTCTCTTCTGTTGCTGAGATTACAGGTGTGAGCCACCACACCTCACCCTATGAGTCATTTTTATTAAAACCAAGGCCCAGCCCAAACATCATCCTCTCCTATTTCTGCCCTATTCCCATCCCCTCAGATCAGATGAGGTTCCCCTGGCTCTGCCCCACTTTAGTACTGCTTGACCAGTCCCCTTTTACCCCTACTGTCCTCTGTCGTACCTATGGTCACTTCAAACACACTCCTGTTTGAGAACCCATCCCTTATTTCCAGTGATGTAGAGCCAGTGAGGCCCCAAAGCACAGGAGTAAAGGTCCTACATGTGTCCTCAGTCCAGGCAAGGCTGGCTTATGAAAGCTAAGATGCCTAGAGTCCATGTGTATAGGTGTCTGGTTGGGGGAAGCACCACGTGGCTGGGGCTGGGGTTCTGCATAGATCCTTGGGATGCGGCAGGCTGGGAAGTGAAAGGGAGCCTAGGACTAGCCTAGGACTAGGGCAGGAAAGGAGTGGAGATAGCCATTGGTTGGACCGAGTGAGCTGGCTGGATCCCCAGTCCAGACAGAGTGAAGGGCAGCTGCCCTATACTGAACAGGATCCCCTTAATGTGCAGAAGGCAGTCCCTGTGGGGTACAGAGAACAGGTGTCTGGGGGAGCAGAGGAAGATAGTAGCTGTCAGGAAATCTGCCCTAGCCTCTCCAGGAGGGCTAGTAGGGGGCAAAGAGGATGGGTCCTGTGGCAGGGCGGACTGTTCCTGCTGGGGTGCGAAACAGAGCTGGACCCAGGATGGGAGTTGGGAAGAGGGTAGCTGCAGCTGTGGGTGCAGGCCGCAGAGCCAGGGGCCCTGGCAGGGCACAGATGGCAGCGGCTGTGGTGGGCAGTGGGCTGGGCAGGAAACGGGCTGCCAGCGTCTTGGTGAGCTGTTTCTGCAAGGCCAGTTTAGACTACAAAGAAAAGAGAGGAGTGAACAGGACTTCTGACCCGAGGAAAGCCCACCTCCTCTCTGGGCCCCATCCCCATGGGCTTTTGCCTCATGGGAACGTGCTTCCTAGCATTCCAACCCTTAATCTTCCTCCCTTCCCACCCCCAAACTGTCATTCCAGAGGGCTTTCTTCACCACCTGTCTTCCTGCCCCCACCCCCACCCCCAGGGAAGCCAGCCTCAGATGGAAGAAGGGAGAAGGCTTGTGGGGGCTGGGTAGACATGGTCTCTAGGAGATGTCCACCCAGCCCTGGCTCTGGCCCCTAAGATTATGACCCCAGTCCATCTGCCGGAAATTCCTCTGGGTACATCCCAGGATAGCCCAAAACCCAACCCCGCCTCTTTATCTGCCCAGGCAGCCTCAGAGCAGGTGACCTCCTTCCTGCCCTTCCAGCCACAAGCCAAGCTCCCCAGGTGGCCCCTCCCCTTCCTGCAATCCTGCCACTAGACCCAGGTCCCACGCTGTTGCCTGGACACAGATACCTTGAGGACGCTGACAGCTAGAGCTGCGTGCTTCTGTAGCTTGCTGTGCTGGCTGGGGGGCTTGGGAAGCTTCCCTGCCAGGCGGTCTTTGTGCCTCCGGCTGCTCATGTGCTGATGGACAGACAGATAGACTGGGAACAAGAGGAGGAAGCCCGCAGACCCCCCCCCAACTACCCTCTCACCCTCTATCCACAGCCCACCTTCAATGAGCACATACTAGCGAGGTGAACTTGGCCTCAAAGAGCCAGCCGGCCTCACTCCACCCCTTCCCTTCCCCTTCCTTTCCCAGTCTGCTCCATGGCTAGCTCTACCCCATCCCTCTCCTCTACCTGCTTGAGCTGGGTCTCTGAATTGACCTGGAGCTGACAGAGAGCACAGTGGAAAGGCGGGGTAGGCCCTTGGCGGGGGGCCCGGCCCCCAGTCACTCTCTTGGTCTTGTGTCCAGGTCCACCTCGGGACACTGTGCGGCCTCGGCCCCTCCGGGGAGCCCCTCCTTGACCTCCCATCATCCACCGGTGTTTGGCTCCTGAAAGGAGGGCATAAAGTCTGTCAGCATGGAGGCCCCCTCACACGAGGCCCGTGTGCCCATCCCTTTCATTAAGCCTCTGCACAACACAGATTTTTCCCTTCCAGAGTCTCTGGCTTCCTGCCAGTGTGCCCCCCAAGGAAGGTCTTCTGGCTGTCACTGGCCAGCCCTCTACTGCTCTAATGGCAGTCCCTAGAAAGACTTCCCAGATTTAGTAGCTTTCAGTCCTTGCTGCCCCAGACTTCCCAGGGCCCCCTCCTCAGGGATCAGTGGAAGGACCCAGAAACGCCTGGCCACAGTAACAGTGGGATACCATGCCTCTGCCAGGGGGCTCGGCTGCCCACATTTGGTGAGGTCAGCCTCCCTGCCCTTCCCTCTGCTCCTTGGGGTGGGGGAACTGACCTGTGTTATGAGCCTGCAACTGGGAGGCTGAGTTCACGGTCACCTTACATGTGGGGCAGTAGAGGCGCCCCTTCTCGCTCCTGCCTTCCCCTCCCACTCCACTGCCCACAGCCACAGCTGGAGGCTCAGGCCCTGGTGCCTCCCTGCCTGGCTCTGGGGAGCGAGGAGGGCAGGAGGAGGAGGTGGAAGAGGAGGTAGCATCCAAGAGGTCCTGGTGGGATGGCTCCGTGGCTGGTGGGTCTGGGGTCAGTGATAGCTGGAGTGGAGGGCCGAGGGGACAGGCAGCCGGACCTGCGGAGAGATGGGTCATTGAGGTGGGAGGCCCAGGACGGTTTCTGAGCCCCGGGGGTTCAGTGGAGTCCCTGTTGCTGGGATGACCAGCACTGAATTCCAGGCCCCTCTACCACAAATTCACTGGGAGGATTTGGGCCTCAGTTTCCCTACCCAAAATAAAGTTGGACAGAGTACAGTGATCCTTCACCTATCTCAGGACTTATGTTCCAGAGACCCCTTCAATAGGTGAAAATCCACCGACTAGCAATAAATAAGTGAACCTTGATATAGCAAGGGATGACTATATAATGCTGCTACTTCGTGGATTTTCACCTGTCATGGGGGCCTCTGGACCCTAAGTCTGCAATAGGTGAGGGATAACTATTTATGTATTTTTAAAAACCCACAAGACCGTGATGCAGTGAAGCCACAATAAGTGAACTGTGACATAGCCAGGGATGACTGCAGTCTTAGGAAGCCCTCCCACTCCTGTAGTTACTTGCTAACAAATAAGCAGTAGTCATCAGAAAGATGGGCTAGAATGTTCCTAGAACATTAAAAGCAAAAAAAACTGGAAGCTATTCAGGTGTCCATCGAACAGGACAGTAGTATGTCCGTGTAGTGGAGTACTACATAATTGTGAAAAGGGGAAACTATTGCCACATGCAGCAGCCTTATAGACATACCCAATGTTGATGAGTGTTCATGAGAGAGGGATAGAAGCCAGACACAGAAATCTACATACTCTATGATTCAACAAAACCAAGCAGAACTAACCTATGCTGAGAAAAGCCAGGATCAGAGTTACCCAGCAGTGGGAATGGGGTATAGCAGCTGCTTGTATACTCTCTTTCAAAATATTCCCATCCTTATGGAACTTGAGAATGTGAACTTGGAGATGGTTTACAGATAAAAATTAGCATTTGAGAGGTGAGGCAGGAGGATGAGAGTTTGAGGCCAGACTGAGCTACATAGCAAGGGCTTGTCCAGAGAGGTGGGGGGGGGGAGGGAGAAGGAGGGAGGGAGAGAAAGAAAGGGAGGGAGGGAGGGAAGAAAAGACCATGTGAGGCCACAGAATCACATTGGGGAGAAATTGTAATGCAGGTGGAAACAGAGGCTAGAGGAGGTCCTTGTTGACAAATCCTAACTTGGGACTTTTTTCCCCCTTTTCAGCAGGGAGGTACCAGGGTTTGAACTCAGGGCCACACACTGTCCTTAGTGTGGCAGTCTACTACTTGAGCCCACAGTCAGCCCTGCTTTGTGCTGTCATTCTTTTTTTAATTTTTTTTTATTGTGAAAATACTGTACAGAGGGGTTACAATTACATGGGCAAGGTAATGAGTACATTTCTTATCAAGCATTGTAGCCTCCTCCTTTGTTTCCCCTTCCCATCCCATCCTTCTCCCCCCCCCCCACCAAAGTTGTAAAGTTCATTTTCGGTATAACCATTTGTACTTGCAATGGGTCCACCTGTATCACTATTTAAACGATTTGTTTTTTCCCTTCCCCTCCACAAATTATAACAACATCAAATACGTGCTGGTCATTCTTGTGGGGTTTTCTACCCTGGCTGACTTTGAAGCATGATCCTCCAGATCTCAGCCTCTCTGAATGGCCAGGATCACAGGTGTAAGCCCCTTCAGCTTGGGACTTCTGATAGCTGAATTGTGGGAATATTAATTTCCATTGTTCACTGTCACCCGATTTATAGTCATTTGTTGGCAGCTTAGGAAACAAATGCAGCAAGGTGGTGAATAGGAGGGGACCTGGAAGTTTCTGGGTGATAGTTCTGTGTCTCATAATCTGGAAATGTTCAGGCTAGGAAGTTCACTAAGCTGAGCCCTTGAGTGCCTTTGTCTATAAGAGACAGTAACAAGGAGGCCTCACCCAACCCCTTATCAGAAGCCAAACTCTGGGCCAGGGCAGGAGAAGAGTCCAGGACTAACCTTTGCTCTGCGACTCTCCAGGGGCTCCACTGGCCAGACTTGGGACTGGGGAGACCACCACCTCATCCCGGGCCAATGTTTGCAGCCTCTGCTTGTTCTTGGCAGCTTCAACAGCCTTGAGTTTCCTGGCATGCTTGTGGCCTTTATAATGTGCTTCAGCCTGGTTCTGGAGAGAGGAGGGCAGAGGGTCACCATTTCCACTCTGGTTCACATGCCTCATCCAGAAACTGATGCTGAGTAGAGGGACAAAGTCAAAAGGAAGCAGAGGACTTGGACCACACCATGGACACATAATAATAGTAACTACTTCTTCTTCTTCCTCCTCCTCCTCCTCCTTCTCCTTCTTCTTCCTTTTTCCTTCTTCATCTTCGCCAGTCCTGGGGCTTGAACTCAGCACCTGGGCACTGTCCCTGAGCTGCTTTTTACTCAAGGCTAGCACTCTACCACTTGAGCCACAGCACCACTTCCGGCTTTTTCTGTGTATGTGGTACTGAGGAATCAAATCCCGCATGCTAGGCAAGCACTCTACCACTAAGCCACATTCCCAGCTCAACAATAAATTCTTCTTTTGTTTTGTTTTTGTCGGTTGTGGGGCTTGAACTCTGGGCCTGGGCGCTGTCCTTGTGCTCTTCAGCTCAAGGTGAGCACTCTACCGCTTGAGCCACAGTGCCACTTCTGGTTTTCTAGTGGTTTATTGGAGATAAGAGTCTCACGGAAAAAGAAAAAAAAAAAAAGATTGATGTAAAGTAAAAAAAAAAAAAAAAGAGTCTCACGGACTTTCCTGCCCGGGCTGACTTTGAACTGCGATCCTCAGATCTCAGCCTCCTGAGGAGCTAGGATTACAGGCATGAGCCACCAGTGCCCGGCAATAAATTCTTCTTTTGTGAGTATGTATGTGTCAGTAATGAAGCTACTCAGGGCCTGGACACTGTACCTTTAGGTTTTTGGCTAAAGGCTAGCGCTCTACTACTTGAACCACATCTCTATTTTTGGCTTTTTGGTGGTTAATTGGAGATGAGTCTCATGATTTTTTTTTTTTTGTCCGTGTGGGGCTACTTCAGATTTTCTAGTGATTTATTGGAGATAAGAGTCTCACGGACTTTCCTGACCGGGGGCTGGCTTTGAACCGTGATCCTTAGATCTCAGCCTCCTGAGTAGCTAGGATTACAAGCATAAGCCACTGGCACCCGGCTTCTCATGAATTTTTTTTAGCCTGGTCTGGCTTTGAACTGTGATCCTTAGCCTCCTGAGTAGCTAGGATTACAGTTATGAACTACCAGTGACTATCTTCAAAGTCCACTGTAGCCCATAGCCCAGAATGGCTTTCCTGGTAGGCCAGAAAGAGGCTGCAGTCGAATGTATATAGGCTTTAGGGATAACATGGCATGGGTTCAAATCCTTTTTTTTTTGGTGCTGGTCCTGGGACTTGTGCTCAGGACCTGGGCGCTGTCCCTGAGTTTGTGTGCTTAAGACTGGCACTCTACCACTTGCACCACACCTCTATTTCCAGCTTTTTTTGTAGATAATTGGAGATGAGTATTACAGACTTTCCTGCCCAGGCCAACTTTGAACTGCAGTCCCCAGATCTCAGTCTCCTGAATAGCTAGGATTACAGGTATGAGCCACTGGCGCCCAGCTTCAAATCCTAGCTTTGCTTTACCATCTGTGTGGCAGTAGGGTCAGTCTCAGCCCCTGAGACTCAGTTTTCTCCTTTGGCAAGTGAGGAGGGGAACAGGAGACTGCACTAAGATGCTGGGTATGAACACGTTCTATAAACATCTCACCTCTACCCCCACAGTACCCATGCTAGAGAAGGATCCAGAACACAGGAGTGAGGCAGAGGGAGCGACATGAAAGTCTGGGAGGATTTGGGCAGCAGGGGACAATGGGAACGGGCAGGAGAGGGGAGAGGATGGCCAGCGAAAGGATCATGAGGGCCTCTTCTGCAGCCCCTTCACCACCCCTGTCCTTCCAGAAATACCGTGGAAGGAAGCCCAGCCCTGTTTCCATGACTCCCTCTCACCGCTGAGTTGAACCTCAGGTGACAGATGTTACAGGAGATGAAGAGCTTCTTCTTCAGAGGGGAGGGAACCCCAAATGTGTGGCTGATGACAGCTTTCTGGACTGGGTCCATCTGTGAGGAAGGCGGGAGGGCACAATAACTCTGGGGTTGCCTGAGGAAGCAGGGAGGTTAAAAAATAATAGGAAAAACTGGAAACTAGAGAGTGGGGAGCTTCTAGAAAGAACTTTCCCATGCTGTGGATGCCAGACTAAGACAGCCTGTCCCTAGATGACTAACTGCCAGCTTGGAGGTAGGGGCTGGCCAGGGTGAGCTGCGTGACCTTAAGGAATAGAATCGTGGCCTAGTGATCACTTCGGCATTTGGTCCCAGCTTTGTTGCTCTTTCATTTTGCAAGAATCATTTTGTGTGTCTGTGCATGTGCTGGTACTAGGGCTTGAACTCAGGGCCTGGGCTCTGTCCCTGAACTTTTTTTACACAAGGCTAGAATACCACTTGAGCCACAGCTCTACTTCCTGCTTTTTTTGTGGTTAACTGGAGATTCAAGTTTCATGGACTTTCCTGCCCAGGTTGTCTTCAAGCCATAATCCTCAAATCCCAGCCTCCTAAGTAGCTAGAACTATAGGTGTGAGCCATGGAGACCAGCAAGAAACAGTTGAGACAGAATTGGTGTAGGAAAAGGTAAGGAGGGAGGATGTCTCCCTCCCCTCACCCAGCCGTATGCATGGACCTGTAAGAGTCCTATCTTACCAGCTCTGACACTGTCCCTGGGTAGGCTCTCAGGAGAATGAGAGCTGGAGAGGCAGGGGGCCAGGAGGTCTGAGGTTCCCCAAGCATATTCATTTCCTTTGAGCAGTAACAGAGATGTTCTCTTTTTCACTATATTTTTCTTTTTACCAAACCAAGCAAGGCTTTATGTTCCTTTATTTATTTTTTGGGGGGGGGTGGAGAGTGCCTTTTAGATTAGTGGACCAAAAGCTGAAGTTTGTCAAGAGGAACTTTCCAATAGGAAGAGAACTGAGACTCAGAAGGAGAGTGGGTCTCCTGCAGAGACCATGCTGAAGGACAGAAAGAGGTAGAGGGGTGCAGGGCCAGGATCTCAGAGAGAGGAGCCTCAGGCTCTCCCCTGCTGCTAAGGGCCTGCATTGAAGTGAGGATAGGTTCTGAAGCCCAAAGGCCCAGTCCCAACTGACCCTAAGGTGACCTGAGATGGCTTTTGGGACCAGTCTCAAAGGATGGGGTGGGTTTAGCCATAATTTTTTTTTTCTAAATGAAAAATAGGGGCTAGAGAGGTGGCTCAAGGGGTAAAGGGCCTGCCTAGCAAGTGTGAAGCCCGCCCTGAGTTTAAGCCCCAAGATTACCCCAAAATAAAAATAAATGTGAAAACAATGGGGATGGTTTCTGATACCTCAGGGAATAAAGTAACATCCACACTGACAACACTTTCCTCACGCACACATGGAAATGTACAGGCCTAGTACAGCTACAAGGTGCCTAAGTTTACAGCATGTACACACTTACAGACAAAAGATACATACAGGAAGACTCACAGCCAAACAAACCACACAGAAACACACTGGCAAATCAGACACATCCCCAACACATGCATAGAAGACACAAAGACATACCAAAAACCCCTCAGAAACACAGATACACACATTAATTACATATAGTTACCTATTATATACAGGACACCAACACACAGGTTCACAACCACACATAATACACAAAGTCCTGTAGAGACACCAGGCAACAACAGAAAGGCTCACCCCAACTGTACACCGACACACAGACATGCATGGATCAGCCACAGGAGTCTCTCCACAAAAACTCAAGCAGAAGCCTCCGTCTCTGGGCAGTTGTGATGGTGGGGTAGGGGTAACTTTGGGGTGACACCATCTTGTTCACTAGCCTTAGAGACAGCTTGACCCAGAAAATCCCTGTTTGTGAGCACTTAGCCACTCTCTAGGATAGAGGAGTGAGCTTTTGGTTAGCCCCAGATACTACACTCGGCCCCTATAAGGCACCTTCCCTGCCCACCCCCAGGCTTGGCCATGTGCCCCCGCCCCGTCCTGCCCAGCCCGTACCGTGCTGAAGTTGGGGAAGAGACTGAGCGGGGTGGTGCCATTGAAGTGGAAGGCCAGCAAGTGCTTGAAGTCCAGCGGGGGCTGCAGAGGCCGAGTGGGCAGGGGCAGAGAGGCCAGCAGGGGACTGGGGGAGCTGGAGGCAGGGCCTGCTGCAGGAGGAAGAAGGGCAGGGTCTGAAACAGGGAGCCACGGGGGCTCTGTCCTACCTCTGAAGCCAGGACTGAATGCTGATGGGCTTCTTGGAGGTAGAGCCAAGGCAGACATTTTGTTTTCCTCTTCACAAAGTCACACCAGCCAAACCCAGTTGGGGAGGCAGAGGTAAAGGCTCCACCGCTCAGGCTTCCAACCCAAGAGAATGATCCTCCCCAAATGAACTCCCAGAGGGAGGGTGGTCCAGGGGGCAGCCAGAGGAAGCAGAGATGCTACATACTACCATGGAGACTGTGTGATATACTGGGTTTCCGTTTTTATTACCAATTAAATAAAGCCCAGGGCTTGACTAGCCCCCTTCCCTCCTACTCTCTGTCCTTTCTCTCTCTCTGAGTCCCACACCATTTACAGAAAAGGGCTGACCGAAGGGAATGAGGAATCCACAGGAGTCTGAGGAGATGCACACCCCAGCTCTGCGGAAGCCATAGTTGCTCCCCTGAGAAGGCCAAATTCCCTGCACATCCAGGGCCGCCCCAGCAGCACCAGCAGTTTTGTAGTCTTTGGTCTTGAAAGTCTGAGGCAAGGGCAGGAGAGCGCTAGGAACTTAAAGCAACCTGACTTCCAGGAAGAAGAAATTTGAACTAAACCCAATCCATTTAGGGGCTCTGTGCCTGCAAAACCAAAAGAAGACCCCCCCTTTTTTTTTGCTTTTTGTGTCTTCACATTGTGAAAGACAGGATATCCTTATTTCATATTTGCAGATTTATGCTATGTCTGGTCATATTCAGAAAAGTCTTTTGGCCTGGAGGATGATGAGTCTACTCCCTTGAACCATTAGTTTATTCACAGTAGAAGGTGCTGGGCTGGGTGTCAGAACCAAGCATGGCCATGTGCTATCCAGTCTTAGCTGAGAGGATACACAAGACTGGGGGCTAGGAGACAGTTAAAGACCAATTCTCCTTTCCCCTTAGCCCCTCAAGAGTCTCCTCCCTACTTTCCTAGGGTTAAAATATGGGCAAGGGGCTGGGATGTAGCTCAGTGGCAAAGCACTTGCCTAGCAAGCGCAACGTCCTGGGTTCGATCCCCAGTACCAAAAAAGAAAAGACAAAAAAAAAAATATGAGCAAGGACCAGAAGGGAAAATGGCAAGCTCTCCTCAGCACATTCTGGGAGCCTGGGAAAGCCTGAGGACTTCCAGATTTTTGCTAGTACCTCTACCCACCTCTACCCACTTTTCCAGACAGTCAAGGGGTGCCTGCAGTGCTCTGCAGGGAGGGGAAGGGGCGGACCACAGAGCACAGTTAAAAGGTCAGTATGAGTACACCTGAGTTAACCCTTAGGGTGTCTAGGCCCCCAGGCTGGCAGGAAAATGAGGAAATCGCTCTCAGGTAAGTTGAGCCCCCAGGAACCCCTCCTCCCAGCCACTCTCTAAGAACTCCACTGCCAGCATAAAGTCAAACTCGTGCAGAGGGGGCCCATCCACAGCGATCTTCACTATGTGGTCACCCCGACTGTCCCCAGCCCCGCTCTGTCCCCACCACCGCAGCTCATGGCTACGGCCCACCTTGTCCATCAGCCCAGCACCCACTGGCAGTGTCAAGGCCAGGGCAGCGAGGGCGGCGAGGTCTGGGAAGAGCTCATACAGCTCAGAGTGCCTGCATGCCAGCTTGGTGCACAGTGCTCGAGGGCTGAGCTGCCCCAGGCTGGACACCACACGCTTGAAGAGTGCAAAGTCACCCAGCACGCGTGGGGACACCAGGGCTGGCCCAAAGCCCCACAGCAGTATCTGCAGCGACCCCTTGCCATGCATGTCCAGCTCCTCAGGCACCTGTGGGTAGTGGCGGGGATCGAAGATGGCTGCAAAGGCAGCCACATAATCCAGAGAGGGCCCAGGGTAGGAATCCTGCAGTCCCTTCTGCATGGAGTCCAGGAGATCCCCCCGGAGCCTCTCCAAGCCCCGGAGTGCAGCTGCAGAGTAACCCACCAGCTCCACGCCACGGTAGGTACAACGCTGGCCTTCTCCTTCGGGGCTGGAGGATGCCAGTGCTAGCAGCAGGCGCTGGAGGTGGGCACCTCCTGAGCCATGCTGACCTTGGATGGAAGCCGTGGCCGCCATCACCAGGGGCTGTAGCAAGGCCAGGTCTGGCTCTTCAGACTGCAACATCAGGGTAAGTTTCTGCACCGAGGGCAGAGCGTCCAGCAGCAAGTGCGTGAAGGCTACGAAGGTGAACTGGCGCAGGGCCAAGGCCAGCGCCCCAGTTGTGGGCGAGGCTGGAGCAACAGCCTCTAGGGAAGGTACCAAGCAGGGCCAGGCTTCAGCTACTGCTTCCACGACAGGCAACAAGGAAGCCCAGGGTACTGGCCAGGGCCCTGCCAAGTCCACAGCCGCGCTGTCCAGTGCTGCTCGGAGCTTGGGTACCATATGGGAACTGGGGCCACCATGCAGGCGGAAGAGGGCATCCAGGATGCTCTCATATTCACCCAGGTAGGCAGGGGGCTCTGGATCTGTCTGGCCAGAAAGACAGTGAAGCTCTGTGAGCAATGGACAGATGGCCCGGAGCTGCTGGCTGATGCTCTCCAGGCGGTCACTGGGGAGGCTGGAGCTGAGCCAAGCCAGCTTGGAGGCAGATATACCAAAGGCTTTTAGGATGTCCAGGAGTTGTCCAGCAGTAGCCTCACCCTCCTGCAGCTCCACAGTGCCCAAGAAGGTGGTAGCAGGCTGGCCATCACAGGGGGACACGGAAGTGGCGAACAGGGCCAATCTGTGGGTTTCAGGCCAGTCCCTGGCCTCGTCTAATACCAGCCCCACATATGGGGATGCTTTCAGGCGCTGGCAGGCCTCTGTGTGTAAGACACTGGCAATGGCCACCTGGGACAGCCAGGGAGAGAAAGGGAGGGAGGATAGAATTAGACTTGTCCTGCACAGGGAAGGCAGGCAGTGGAGGGTAATAAGACAAACCTTAAGAATCAGACAGACTGGCAGACTCGTCTTGGCCTGGTTACTTCTTGGCTGTGCTGCCCTGGGCAACTCATTCCAGCCCCTCTGAGATTCAGTTTTTCAGCTCTCCTCTCAGTGAATACCCACCTGTCCTGTCTTTTCAAAGGGTTGCCATGTTGTTGCACATTATAAAAATGCTTTAGGAGCAGGGCACTGGTGGCTCACACCTGTAATCCTACCTCAAGGAGACAGATCTGTGGATTGCAGTTCCAATCCAGCCTGAGCAGGAAAAGTCCACGAGACTCTTATCTCTAATGAACCACCACTGAGCTGGAAGTAGAGCTGTGGCTCAAGTGGTAGAATGCTCATCTTGAGGGGTAAAGCCAAGCAAGAGCATGAGGCTTTGAGTTCAAACCCTGGTACCGAGACACACATTCAAAAATGAAAAGTTCTCAGTACTGGCACACACATACACAAAAAGTGCTTCATAATGGGGCTGGGAAGGTGGCTTAGTGGTAGAGCGCTTGCCTTGCATGCATGAGGCCCTGGGTTCGATTCCACCTAAGCAAAAAGAAAAAAGCTGGAAGTGGCTAGGCTGGGAAAGTGGCTCAGTGGTAGAGCGCTTGCCTTGCATGCATGAGGCCCTGGGTTCCATTCCTCAGCACCACATAAGCAGAAAAGAAAAAGCCAGAAGTGGCGCTGTGGTTCAAGTGGTAGGGCACTAGCCTTGAGCTGAAGAGCTGAGGGACAGTGCCCAGGCCCAGAGTTCAGGCCCCACGACCAGACCCCCCCCCCAAAAAAAAAGTGCTCCATGAACTATGAAGAGCTCTGGGAAGTTTAGTGTTTTCCTGTAGCATTGTCCCAGTTTGCCTTAGTACTAGAGATCAAACTCAGGGCTTTGTATTTGCTAGGTGGGTGTATTACCATTTGAGCCACACTCTCAGATTTTTTTGCTTTAGTTATTTTTCAGATCAGATCTTGTGCTTTTGCTTAGGGCCAGCCTTAGACCTGATCTTCCTATTTGTCATCTAAGTAGCTGAGATTACAATCATACATCACCATGCCTGGCTCTCACTATTCTTTCTTTCCTTTCTTTGTTTCCTTTCTTTCCTTTCTTTGTTTCCTTCCTTCCTTCCTTCCTTTCTTTTTCTTTCTTTCTTTCTTTCTTTCTTTCTTTCTTTCTTTCTTTCTTTCTTTCTTTCTTTCTTTCTTTCTTTCTTTCTGTCATGGGGCTTGAACTCTGGGCTTGGGTGCTGTCCCTGTGCTCTTCAGCTCAAGACGAGCAGTCTACCGCTTGAGCCACAGCACAACTTCCAGTTTTCTAGTGGTTTATTGGAGATAAGAGTCTCACGGACTTTCCTGTCCGGGCTGGCTTTGAACTGCAATCCTCAGATCTCAGCCTCCTGAGTAACTAGGATTACAGGCATGAGCCACTGGCACCCGGCACCCACCTCTTTCTTTCTTTCTTTCTTTCTTTCTTTCTTTCTTTCTTTCTTTCTTTCTTTCTTTCTT